GTTCATTGGGATGTTGAGCTGTCGATGCGCCTTCCGACTCAACTGGGTTGTGACTATGTTGAGTTCATTGAGATGTTGAGCTGTCGATGCGCCTTCCGTCATTCGCAAATTGAACAGCCGCCTCATCAAGTGAACTTTGTTTGAGGCAGAGGGCTTCTCGTACATGCTGCAGAGAGCCGCCATAAGACCCGCCGTGGTCTTTTCCTTTGCTATGTTGAAGGCAACGTTACGGGATAGCGTCAATCGGATAACTCCAAGGGCTTGTCTGTCAAGGAGAGCCCAATCTTCATCCTTCATATCATCTGGCTTCTTTCCCGAGAGAGGTTGATACAGCTTCTTCTGGTACAGATAGTCTTCGATCTGCATCTTCCAAAAGCCGAAGTCCGCACCATCGAACTTCTCAATTTTTACCTTCCCTTCGTCTGCAGCCATCGCTCCCACTCGAATCTGACTTCCTCTGGATCGTTTCTGACAATTTTTGTGAACCACCTTGTATTAAGATACCTCTGCCGACAAGTCAGTACCGCCGGCAAAATTCAACTATTCACGAAATTTACTATTCACTTGAATAGTAACCTTGCAGAAATTTGACAGGCGTCACAACCAGAGCTCTGATACCAGTTGTTGGGAAATTACCCGGATTCCCCTATTTCCAGATTTGAGAGAAAGCGAAAAATAAATTGCGCAAAATTAGGGGACACGCAAGATTTACGTGGTTCGGCACAAAATTGCCTACGTCCACGGGCTGCTGCAGATCTTTCACTATTTGGGAGAAATTTTACAACACTCTCAATTTATCTCACAACTCAATCCCACTCTGAAAATTGCTCATAATTTTCTCTCACAAAGACTTTTCTCTAAGCCTCTCTTTTCTCTCTCTTGTTCTTCTATAAGAGGAGTTGTTTCTGGGATGAGTTTTCCTTAAGAGTTTGGGGGCCTATTTATAGTGTTTGGGAAAACACTATGCACTAATATTTTATTAGTGGTGGGGCCCGCGGTGGGGCCCACGTACAATTTTTTCTTGCTCTGGGACCCGCTCACCTATCCTCTTCTGATTTTCCGGTGGCATGAGAATTTTGACAAAGCCGAAAGAGCCAAAGGCTCTTTCGGTGGCATGAGAAGTTTGACAAAAAAAACTTTCTTTTGTGTGCTTTCGGTGGTCTGCACACATTCTTTGACTAACAGCTGGATCATCAGCCAAGGGTCCGGAGGCGATTCTTATCGGATGTGGGTGCAAAGGCGAGCTCGGATTCGCCCACCAGGACTGTGGCAAGGCCTGGTTTAAAGCCAGGGGAAACAGGTAGTTACACTATGTATTTACTTTTGAGTACTCTAGCATGTCCTTGCTGAGGTTGAGAGCACTTTTCGTGGATCGAAACCTGGACTTACACAATTTTTTTTTTAAATAACTTTTGAGATATGGTCAATGAGATTTATAAATTTCTAGTACCATATCAACAAACTTTTCCTCTAGACCAAAACATTGAAGTTATAATTAAGATGAGGGCCATAGCTTTATACTATAACATGAACTTAAAGGTTGAAGGCTTTTAAATTCTCTTTCAAATGCGTGATTGTGGGATTCAGACTTGGGTTGTATTGATACATACCAAAGAGCCTTCCAAAGTCTAGAGGTTTGATGAGTGTTGAGGATTACAAATTTATTCTCTAATAGAGTTAAACTCTTCACCGTGACAATAATAACATTTATGCCTTGAGAACATTTTCTGAACGCTGTACTTCTTGAATTTCGGGGAATGCTATGACTGGTGGCCTTAACTTAAAGATGTTAAAATGTAACAACTTTTGGACAATTCTATTCCTGTTTGACTTACTATGTTATTCTTATCAAGGAAGAACAAGTAAAAAGTAAAACATTTAGCTTTAACTTTTCTTCTCTACCAGCTAATGCTGTATATGAGAACTTCTAATAGTTTAGGAGGGTAATTTTCTCTAATTCTAAAAGTTAGAAATTTTTCTCTAATCTGAAAAGTTCTGAGAGAAAGTCGTGTAAAATCAATCCTAAAAACAATAACCTAAGGAAGTTTTGGGTATGTTTTGTAAACCCTTAAAAGCATGGCCCAGTTTTGTGTTTGTATTTTTATTGGCAAAATTGAACTAGTTTTAGCCCAGTTTCTTTTAGGCCAAAAAAATGGGTTTAAGCTAGTTCTTTGTTAAACCACCTCTCCAATAGTTGAAAAAAGAACCAATTTATTGCAAAAGTGGATTAGAATCCATTCTCGCCCAGTTTTGAGGGTTTTGCCAAACACACTTTTTAGAGTTCAATCAATAGCGGCACTCTAGCTCATGAGTTCAAGAGATTGCCTAAATCATCTCCTGAGTTATTTGTGATATTTGAAGACTGTGTCTATGTACATGCACTTTTGATAGTAGAGTAGATTAGTGATTAAACTTCAAAGAGAACTACGATATTCTAACAAGATTAGATCTTTTCTTCTTTTATATTGAATTTCTGCTGTTTAGCCTTAAGGTATTTAATTGTCATTTAGCCTTTATGTTTTCGATCGGTATAATCTATTACCACTTGTCAGTGTATGCAAGGAATTAAGTCCAATATCAAAATGCAATTATATGATTTCAAGTTGAATCATGCGCTTTTCTATTTCCTTTAAACATCATTAAAATGCTTCTGAGAAATATTGCTTTGCATTTGTGTCGCAATTGGGATTTTACAATCCTGAACAAATTGATTAACTTAGGGAATCAAATTGAAAACTAAATAAATTGGCTTTGGGGAGGACTCAGTTTGAAAATGATGTAAAGATGTTTTCATCTTAGTATTTGGGGAAAAGATCTAGTAGGTTTTGAATTAAACCACCATTTTCTCATATAGGAGTAACTTCTATAGATATTTTTTAATCTTCTCTCCTGCATATGAAGTCTAAAAGAAAATATCCTTTTAATAAAGTACAAAGACTTCTATTGCAATGTCTATGAGGGTAATATGGTCATAAATGAAAAGTTAACACTCAAATCCTATTGAATGTTAAAAAAGGACTGAGTTTGTAATTGAGGTGTGGTACAGAGACTAAGTTAGAGGGATTTCAAGATTGTATTAGAGCAACCGAAGTTCAAATCTCACCGATCATGAATTTAAAATTGAATTTTCTGAATGTTGACACTGCCCCATAACCCTAGAATTTAGGCGTTTTGCAGAAAAACACTTGAAACTTTATAAACCATGCCCAACTAAACTTGTCTTAATTAAGTAGAAATACTCTTGGAAGCAGTATCTTTTCATTTTTAAATCCGCTTTAAGAATTCGTGGCCAACAAAATCCAAACTCGAGTTGCTGTTATACCATATCAAACTCCTTGTGCCCAAAACTCTACAGTTGTGGTTGTGGATTTTGATCGTGTGGGTTTTACTTTAACCCTTTGAATTCTAATGAGCAGAAGAGTACGTGAAAAAATGTAGCATTTTAGCATATCGTCTTTAATGCAGGCAATGTGAAATCTGTGGCAAGAACGCTGAAAACATCAATGGCGATGAAAACAGCAGCAGCAGCTTCATGGAGGGATGGAGTGAAGAGAGCACACTGGACAGTAGCACCACTGGACACGCATCCCAGAGGGTGAGCTGTTGGAGGAGTCGACCGCTCTGTAGTCTATTGATTGGAACCCTGGTACTAGTTTCTGTGCTCCTGTGGTTTTTTCGTGAAGGATTGTCCTGATACAAGTGAACTTTTCACGATTCTTAGCAAAAATAATTCACTCCGACGGTGTGTTGGATTATTGAACCAGCTCATTTCTACAGATATCTGATTCGTCACTATTGAGTTTCTTTGGCTAACAATATGTTGCTGGTAATGATCTGAAGTATTTGTTAACAGTTTACTCACATATGGAACTAAATGAAAATACTACCTAAATCACAACATAAAACTACATTTACCTTGGTTGCGTTCACTCTTTATTCCTAAACTCAACAGCCATCCGAGTCAATCTAGACACTAGAGAGATTGGGCTATTGATGTTGATTTTGATGCGTCTTGGAGATGGGGATTTTAGAATATTGAGTTTTATGAGAGGATGACAAAATCCTCATGTTTGTTGTTATATTACTGTAATAGCAACGTCGACAACGAAAGTGCGCTGGTTCGTTATCATCTTTTTTTTGCTTGTGTACCCAAAGAATTTGCGGTGAAAAATACTGCATTAATGATCAGCAATAATTCAAAAGGCAACATGTTAATGGAATCTGCTTAAACTAGTTCACTGCATTAAAGTTCCCAAACAACTGACACGAGCGCTTGAAGGATTAAATACAAGTCACATCTTGATCATCCTAATCTTTTGATACTTCGCATCTTCAGATAAAGTTATTGCAAGATGGATACATTCTGCAGTCAGTAACTAGTTCAGCCAGCATCAATGGAAGTCATACGAACAGTAGCAAGCTCAGAACTCAGAAGCCATTGCTTTAGAGGAAATCACAACATTCCTCCTTATTTCAACTTTTTAAAAAGAAAACCAACTTTAAAATTGTAAAGCAAGTACAGTGAGTTCCTCCCAGACAGCACACTATTCTTAACTAGTAAAGACTAGCAAAAAGTGACACTGCTTATCTACTTTCAGAGCCTGGGCCTTCTCAAGAAATTTATGGTCATCTACAAGATGTTTGCCTCTGGAGAAGTTCATATATACAAGCTATTACGTCACTACAACATTCTGAAAGAAAAAAAAAAGGAAAAATACATGGTAACTAGCAAAGGGAGTATTTGAGTTTGAATATATACCGAGTCTTCAGTCAGAAGGAACCCTCCATCACTAGTAGAAATTCAACTATCCTAGACGGAATATCCTAGACGGAAAAAATTCCGTCTAGGATACTATATCCTAGACCGAAACATTCCGTCTCTGGTATTCCGTCTAGGATATATTATTCTAGACGGAAATTTCCGTCTAGAATAGTATTCTAGACGGAATTAGGTATTCATTTATTTTTTTTAAATAGTCTGTTCATCCTAGACGGAAATTTCCGTCTAGGATGAATTTTATTTCCGTCTAGGAGAGTCTCTCACTTTATATTCATCAGAACCCTAAAATCCGTATCCTCCAAATCAAAAATTCTTCTTCTTCTTCTTCTTCGTTCGTGCCGTCCTCGACGCCGTCTGCAGCCGATCGTTTACACCTCGTCGTCCTCTCCCACTCCCGCCGCCTCCTCAGTCCTCATTCGACCCTCGTTTACACATCGTCGTCGTCTTCCTCTCACACTCCCGCCGCCTCCTCAGTCCTCTCCCACCACGTCAAGCTCTTCCTCTTCCTACTCCCGCCGTTTGCCACCTCCGCTCATGGAGCCCTTGCCGGCGATTGCCCTAATTGAGGTAAGCGATCCTTGATCTTGATTTGATTCTATGCGATTTCTTTAGGGTCTGCCTGATTTCTAGGTTTCGTTGATTTTGGTATCTTTTGTTCTTATTTTGGATTTCTTTAGGGTCTGCCTGTATTTCTTTAGGATCTTGATTTGATTCTGTGCTTATTGGGGATTTTGGTATCTTTTGTGCTTAGTGAGGGGATGGCTGACTCAGGCTGAGGGGTACTGTGTCTGTGCAATTTGCTTGGAGAGGATCTTGATTCACGAGGCTGCCGGTGTGAAAGCTTGCGAGCACGCTTACTGGTTTGTTTTACGACTTCATTTATTTTGCATTATTTTGCGAGCATGCTTACTCGATTGTGCTATACATAGTGATATATGGGATGATTTAATGTTTCCAGAATAGGCTAAATTGTTGTTAAATCCAGGTCCCATGCTATATATTGCCGATTTGTCATAAAATGGAGCTGCTTTATCTATTTGTTCATTAATTAGTAAGTTCGATCAAAATTGTCAGTTAGTGTAGCCAGATATATTATGGACAATTGAATTTATGAAGCTATTAGTGCGCCAGATATATTAAAGGTCTCTTGAGTTCGACATTGGCAAATTAAGAGGTTTGTAGGTTTATAAATTAAGTTTTGGGTTCCGTCCCCTAAACAACTAGCTTCGGGATGAATTCCCCTGCCCCTTACATAAAAAAATGTGCTCTACTTAAAATTATGACTAATACTATAACTAGAGACTGATATACTATAATAAAAGGTAATCTGTCCTTTGATATTTAGTTGTCCTTTTGGTTGCTTGTGTTTTGTTTCTTTTTTCGTTTATGTCAATCTCTTTTCCCCCTACCTTTTTCCTTATTTATTTCCACAATTTTGTTAGCTTCGTAACTTTTTGTTCTGTGCGTTAAACATGCAGCCTTAGTTTTCCCTTTCCTTCATTTGTAAGTATTTGTTTTTCAATCTACTATTAAAAAAGTTTTAGTTTTGATGCCACTATTTGTTTCTGGATCTGTAAGAAATAATACATAAGGGAAAAGAAAGATTTACGGATAAAAATGACATGCATGTTTGTATGTATACGCGTAGAGATTACCACCATTGTTGGTTTATCATTTGGAAATATTTAGCTAGAAAAAGCTTGGACATTTATTTTTGTTTACTTGGAGTTTCTACCATGACGAGGCCGATGAACTTAGAGCCCCTAATTGGCAACTTCTATAGCAGTGAATTAAGTTTGAATTTATATATGATACCTCCTCCTCATTGGCAACTTCTATTTCTGTTATCTTGTTTAGCTAGTTAAGCCCACAAGGCTCTCATGTTTATCATACAGTTTGTGATTTGATTAATTGTACAAATATGATTATATAGGCTTGTGATTTGAAAATGTGAGTTTGGAAGAAAAGGTTTTAAAAAAATAGAGTGATATATAACGCAATATTATATAATAATGTGTTATATATCCAATTTAGGTAAAAAATATAACGTTAACCCTAGACTCCCGTCCAATAATTACAGCCAATTCTTTGAGGTTATAATATTAGATGAACGAGTCAAATTTGGGTAAGAGGTAAATTTTCCTACTCGAAATTGATCGTTCATCTTTATATTATAATAGAAATGAATTGGTATAAAAATTTGTAATTATTGGATCTGTCCTTCTCGGACGGGTTAGGAATATAATAGTGCATACATCCAACTTTGTATACTTTGTATGATTTCATTTCTTAAAAATTTTGGCAGCCCATACCTGTTGTTCTCCGTGTACAATAAGCGTATGTTGTTTTGCGTTTTGATATGTTCGCCGGGTGGACCTCTGGCTACTGGATTGTAGATACTTTCCTGGTGTTTTAAAATAGTGTTTGTGTTTTTTTGTTTTTTGATATTATAGCCTAACATAACAACCCATGGTTTTCAAACATATATGTTTTGTTTTTGGCAAAAAACACATTGAAACACTAAAAGCATCATGATATCCAAATACTACCTAAGCGTTGCAGTCGTAATGCATGCTCATTCTTGCCCTTCAATTTGTTATAGAGTTCAAGAGTTTGTATTTGATCGCATGACTGCTTGTTTGATGTTTTTCACAGTAATGTTAGAAGTTCTTTCCATCATACAAAACCTCTAAAGTTGATGTTCTCTACATAAAATCCGAAGGTACAATAAGATTGGAAGTAATTAATTTACATTTTAACATGCTCCTCATTCCTTAAAATATGAGCTATTTTAAGGAATGATACATCTTTTTTTCTTAAAATATATTTAATATACATAGAGCTTGAATCTTAATTGCTCTAATACGCATTTTAAGTATTTTTCTACTATATCAAATCTACAAAGTTGTCGATGAGAAGGCAAGGAGACAATACCATTAGATAAAGATACTATTTCCCTATATATTTTTTAGAATCTTCTGTATAATGGATTTTTCGTCGTGTGTCGGATGTCAAGCATGAACATGTCCAGGTTTTCTAGCGCATGGGCTGTAGTCTTGTTATTACTAAGAAAATAACTAATAGTGTGTGCCAAAATTGCGTAGCAGATCCACCGGCAACGAACTTTGGTGCATATATAATATCCTTTTGGCTTTTGAGCTGTATGGAATCTATGGCCCGTCTCATGGGATGTGATGCTAATCACTCTTGTTATTCATCAAATTAACTTTATAGGCATGAGAATTTGGTTTGATGTGTCCATAGGCATATGAGTAGCCAAATTAACTTTATAGACATGATTAACTTTATAGCATGAATTTGGTGGGGGCTTGCTTGTGTTTGTGGTCATGAATATACTTGCACATATTGTTGTTAGTTATCTAGTGAAAAGTTTAATTAAGGAAAGCAAGCTCATAACAAAGATGGATGACTAGGAAGTAGTTGTTTTGAGGATGCAACGCTTCTTTTACTCATGTTCTTGTTAGTATAACGCAAATTTTGGTTCATTATTGTTAGTTTGTATAGTTATTTTTTTAAAACAAATGCTTTCATTATTTTTTCTTTGAACCTTTTTCACAGCAATGACAGTGTGACATTGCGGGATAAATTGCTGCTTTATATCTAAATTGATGTTGGATATAGAATATCCATGTCCTGGATGTCCATAAGTAACCTGATAGTCTGATACGATTAATGATCAAATCAAACGCATGATTATGAAGCTAGATAGTTCCATTCATGCTACATAAGTCCTGTTCATGCTATTAAAACATAAACAAAGTTTGTTAATTATGAGCGTTAATTCTTGTTAAGAGCTAGCCTTAATTATAATTCTTACTGCACATTGCCCATGATGTTGGTATATTCTAGTGCTACAGTTGCTTCTGGTCCTGGGATATGTGGAAGTGCAGGTGAGATATGTGGAAGTGCAGCGAATAGAGATCCAGTGCAATTTATAACATCTACGGTTTTTTCTTTTGGTTTGGGGTTTGGGGGGGGGGGGTTCTTAATTTCAACTATCCTTTTGATTACTTGTTTCGCTAAAAAGTCAATATTTAGTAGACTTAATTGTGCTTAAAAACCTTCTTTTTAAAAAAATATACTAGTAACAACTGTATTTGTGAATCCTACTTATTATACGCAAAATTTGGCCTCAATGTTTAGTTATTGCATCGTTTAGTTATTTCTAAGCATACTTCTAAATTTAGGACATATATCTTTCTTAAAATAATGCCACTCTTTTTTATCTGGCAGGTGCATGTGTTTCTTTGAGCTTCTCTGGAGAAAATGGTTTGTCATCGTCATTGTATTTTTAAAGCATCAATTTTCTTTGTGTTGAGCAAAACAAATAGTGAGTTGATTCAGTTGTGTGGCAGATTTATAAGTTGACATTGTGTATAGCTTTGTTGTGTGAAAAAACAAAGTATATATGAGGTTGGTATAATGTTGGTGTGTGATTTATTTATGAAAAAACATGTGTTACTTTGTTGAGAATATTTATTTAAGTTGTTTTGTGTGGTTTATTTAAGTGGTTAATTGGTATCATGTTGGTGTTGTGTGATTTATTTAAGTTGTTATCATGTTGGTGTGGTTTCTTAATTTGTAAGCTGAATTTACAGGGTTATTTGAGTGGATTTACAGATTTTTAAGCTGGATTTACAGGTTTGTAAGCTGGAAACAGCACAGAATATCCCAGACAGATTTTTTGTATCCCAGACGGAAAAACCGTCTGCGTTGTAAAGACGTATGTATGCAGACCACTGGTACAAAACGACGTAATCCAGACGGAAAATTCCGTCTGGAATAATTAAAATTCCGTCCAGAAAACCTATTCCAGACGGAATTCCGTCTGGAATACGAGTCTAGTTTGTTTCCGTCTAGAATACGTTATTCTAGACGGAAATTCCGTCTAGAATGAATTCTAGACGGATTTTAGTAGACGGAAAAAAATACCGTCTATAATACATTACAGACGGAAATTTTCCGTCTGGGATAGGTATCCCAGACGGAAAATTTCCGTCTGGGATAGTAATTTCAGACGGAAACATATTCCGTCTGGGATAGTTATCCCAGACGGAAAATTTCCGTCTGTAATGTATTATAGACGGTATTTTTTTCCGTCTACTAAAATCCGTCTAGAATTCATTCTAGACGGAATTTCCGTCTAGAATAACGTATTCTAGACGGAAACAAACTAGACTCGTATTCCAGACGGAATTCCGTCTGGAATAGGTTTTCTGGACGGAATTTTAATTATTCCAGACGGAATTTTCCGTCTGGATTACGTCGTTTTGTACCAGTGCATTTGTACCTTTTATATCTGTGTCATTCTAACTCAACTAAAATAGATGATATTTACTCAAGATGGTAATTTCAAGAACCATCGTCAATGACGGTGTATGCCCTATTGAGATGCATTTTGCTACAAGAGAATATGGCATTTCAACCAGTCACAGTGAGTGTATGCTTTACACAGTAGATGCAATTTCCCAAATTTTCTTGTGCAGTGTCAGTTGCTCACACTGTTTCTTCATTTCTTCAGCTTTCCCCGTATCATCTACACATTCTGCAGAAAATGATTAACTTACTGGTTTCAGTAAGACTACCTCGTATAGTATGTTATACATCACATAATAAAATCAAGCACACCATATACCGAGTATGGGATAAAGAAAAATCAAAATGTCACCAGAAATAACATCAGCTCCTGACATATGAAGTAACATTTCAGAAACAAAGGTAAAAATATCACAAAACCCCCTGCATTTTGGGTGAGTTGCACAAAACTATCCGATCTCTGAAACTTAGAGAAAATGCCCCTACATTTTGGGGGAGTTTCACAAATTCGACGTAAACTTTTGAAAAATTCCACGAAGGGTTTAGCCAAAAGACTAAAATATCCTTTTAAAAAAGATAGCCCTCCTTCTATCAGAAAAAACCCACTCTCGGGAAATAAGTTTTATTTAAGGTCACGGGCAAAATTGTCCATTTCTGGTCACGGGAAGAGCATGGATTATCTACTATTTCCAATGTTCCTAAGGGTTTTGGACCTCTCTCAGTGAATAATTTTTTAAAGTTCGTAAGGAGCAGAGATTTGAAATCTCTTACAAATTGGGATAATGGGATAATTTTTGGAACACCACTTTTTGGTGTTATTCATTGGTGTAATTGAAACTGGGGTAAACTTTGTGGTGTTATTGGTTTGTTGGGATAATTTGGGGACAAATACCCCACTTCCCCTAAAATTAGCCCAACTATATATACATTCCTCAAGACCCCCCTCAAAATGTCCCAATTCTTTTGCTAGAACAACCACATGGGGTAATCTTGCCCTCTCTCCCCGTCTCCTCTTCTTCCAGCTGAGACCCTCCCGAAGCCAGAGCCTCCTCCGCCGCCTCCTCCGCCGCCTCCTCCACCGAAGCCAACCCCTCCTCCGCTTGGTACAAAACTGAATTTAATAAAAAGCATTGGTCTAATATTAATGTCCTGATTCTTAAAAGGATTAAGGTCCTGATTCTTAAAATATTTGTGTAATTTTACTTTATCTCTCAATAAAAACTGATGTATGTTAGTGTTATTGTTGTTGTTTGTAAACTTTTTCCGGTTTTGGGATGTTAATGTTGCTGGTTGCAGTCAAGCTTTGACAAATTTGTGGCATTGTTGATGAGCGCTAATGATGACATTGAAGCTTTTTTTTTAATTAATGTCATAAGATGTTTGTCAGTATGGCTTGATGCAAGTAAATGTCATATGCAAGAAATGCTAACCATAGTTTAATGCTAACCAAGTGTTTGTGAGTATGACTCAATGAAACAGAGTGATGTTTGCATGATGAAAAGAATTTTAACAAATTAATATTCAAGAATTGATTGGATGGTACTAATGACTATGCTCAAAATATAGTGTTCAATGGCAAAAGCCAGTTTATAATGTTATGTGCCAAATTTTACATGTACATATAGTCTTTAGCAAAGGAATTTTGGTCATTATTTATATTTGTCGTTGTAGGATGAATTTTATGTTGCTGACTAAGACTTTATTTGTAATAATTAGACTTTATCATCGTCATTGTAATAAGACTTTATTTGTAATAATTAGACTTTATCGTCGTCATTGTAATAAATGTAGGAATGATTAAATAATTTTTGCAATTAAAAAATTTGGTAATATAGCATAATAGTTAAAATAAACATCAAATATATTCAAAGATTGATTAATATTAATATTATTATATTTTTTAAATATTCTATATTAAAATAATCTTAAAAATAATATTATTATATATTATAATTATTATAATTATTATTTATTTAATCATTTGATGTAATATCAAGTTAAACTTGAACTTAATTGATCTATAAATATTATATTATAAAAAGATGTCATACCAATTGTCCCACTTAAATTGTCCCATTATACCCTTTTACCCCACTTTATCCCACTCCTTACCCCACTTTATTCCACTGAAATTATCTCATTGGGTAAATTACCCCATTGGAACAATTTAACCCAATTTGCCCCAATTACACCGATGAATAACCCCCCCTTAGTAAAACATTTCGGTATAAGACAAGGCTCTTAATTTGATAGAATCAAGATGAAATTAACTGGTCTACGGGATGTTAACAATCAGGACCTACGTTGCATGGAACAGTTATGGCAACAGTTACTAGCTACTACTCTTTTAGTAAATCAGTAAATTGGATCATTGCAATTATAATTGTCCAAGAAAAAGGACTCTTATTTTACTGATTTTAAAATGGTTTTTTTTTTCGATGTTAGTCACTTAAATATTTAGTATTTTGATCTTCGACCATCAAATTATTGAAATTGCTATTAGGTCCCCCAATCCTTATTTCTTGCTATTGCTACTCTTTATTGGATGAGCTAATTTGAAACAACTTATAAGAAATGGGTGATCTAAAAGAAATTTCAATGTATATGAGGGACTAATTTTGAGACAACTTATAAGAAATAGAGGACCTAATAGCACTTTAAATTATTTGAGTGACTAAAATAAAAATAATAAAGATTGAAGGGACTTATATCAAAAAAAAACTTTTACAATTTTTTGTCTAATTTGCATAGATCAAGAGTTCAAATTTAGGGAATGGTCCAAATCAATGGCGGATTCAGGATTTCAAGAAAGAGTCACTGCATTATTAACAATTAAAAAATTTGCAACTGTCTAGGTGTTTTCAAATTTTGAAACAAGTACATAATCGCATGATTAGTAACATTATTAAATACATCATTCAATACAAGTTACTAATCACAAAATATATCATTCTCAATATATGTCACTAATCATGGGCTCCCTGGTGCGGACCTAGAATTGCAGGATAAGTTTTTTAGTGAATAAATTTTAAACAATTGCCCTTAAGTTTGTGTGTTCCTCCGATGACCCCTTTAACTTTCAAATTGTTGCAAAACTCTCTTTAAGTTTTGGAGCTCTTAGGAAACCCCCTTCAACTCAACATCTTTCAAAAACAAGTCCTTACGGCATTAATCATTATCTTCACATGGATGGATAAAATTACTCTAAAAAATATTTGAGTCGCAGTTCAAGCTCTTCAGATAATTTTTGTAAAACAATGAAATTTGAAGGGAGTTTTCTATGAAAACCAAAACTTGAGAAGGGTTCGTGAAATGTACCCTTACAAATGGGTTCTTGGTCCATCTTGATCAAAATAGAGTCACGTGACCCCACTTTCATCAAGGTGGATCCACCGGTGGTCCAAATGGCCTAATCTAATGGATACTCATTGAACTACTAAGGGACAGACATCATTGACAAATTCTGATAGTCCTATCAAAGCAAATGAATTTAATCATTGTTATCTTTTGACAAGCCTAATAGCAAAATGATGTAACATAGTTTTAAAATGCACCAAATGGAGCTTCTCCACGAGCTACTCCTGTGCTGCATGGTTGAAATAGTTCTCTAACTCACGCACTGAAGGAGCCAAGGAGGTTAGTCAAACCTATGAAAGAAATCCTCATTCACAAAATTAAAAAAATAACATAGAAAATAACAGACTTGTAGATTACATTGGGTAATCCTACTAAACCCTCTTTCCCCTAAATCTTTTTCCAATAAAACCGAACAACTATAACAACAGGTTGCAACTATTTTTTGGCAAAAAGGAAGGTTTTTTAGTCTCAATAAACAAAAATTTAAAATCTAAAATATTTGAGAAAGGGCAAAAAGTCTAAATCCCCTAACTACAAACCTTAAGTCCCTCACTCTCTCTTCTCACAAACCCAAGAATTGAAAGAAGTCCACATCTTCTCACAAACCCCTTTCGGAGAAGTTGTAACAAACCTAACCAAAAACTTTGATTTTTGTGCAAACAGCAATCTAATGAACGCAAGTGACATTCAACTTGGCTGTCGGTGAGGTTATTTGCCACAAATGTGGGATTGTCTTTGGCTAGCAAAACATTAGCGAGAACCATCGAGACCCAGTTACTCTGGCTCTGGATCATCACTATCACGAATGGGGCTCTGGATCATCACTATCACGAATGGGGCGTACCTCTCATTCTTTTAAATTGGCGTGATTAGACTTACCCTGGGAAAGGAAATTGTCTGCATGAACTTTTAAGAAAGTTTATCAGCTTAGACTTTCTTACGTTTTTTAGGGTCTTTTTTCTTCTAAGAAAAATGGGTTCTTTAAATCATCAAGATAATTTGATCGGGCAGTTACAAATTTGATTTGAGAAAAAAAAAAATTACATTAAGGCTTACTGGAGTTTTACAACGGTTTAATCTTGTTCCCATAGTCTTCTAAGATTGTATTGTAATGTTTCCTCTACAAATCTTCAACTCTCCATCAATGTCGAATGTTCAGAAGCTGCTGTAAACAAGCTTAAACCCTTGTAAATCCTAATAAGCTTACATCCGAAAATAATTTTTTTGTCAAATCAATTTTGAACCTATCTGATCAAATTTCAGTTCATAAATAAAAAACTCACTTTTTTTTAGAAGAAAAAATTCTCAAAAATCCTAAAAAGTCTGAGTTAGTACGATTCCTTGAAAATTTATGCATATGGTTTTTATTCTAAAGATCATCATGTCCATCTAAATAAGAATTAAACGTACCTCTTGGTGTGACAATGATGCTCAAGACCAGAATTGAAACTAGAGCATCAATGGGTTTCAGCAGGTTCTTGTCAATGACTTGATGGTCAAAAACAAGTCCATATTCCTAGCAAATAACGTCATCGGGGGCGAAGTCAAACGCCACTTCTGTCATCATATTGCAGTCTGAGAACTCTATGTTCTTGGTTCGATTTGTTTTAGTTTTTCTCCAAATGGGATTTGTGAGAAGAGTTTGATTCGATTCAGTTCTTGGGTTTATGTGAAGAGAGTGTAGGAGAATCAATGTTCATAGCCAGGGGGTTTAGGATTCACTATTTTTGGCAAAAAGGGAATTTTTTTAGTCTCATTCAACAAAATTTTAAAATATAAATATTCAAAAAAGAAAAAAGAAAAATCTTTCGGGAGACTATGGTGTAAACAAGCAAGCTTAAACTTGTCAAAAACCCTAGGAGAAATCCTAAAACCCCACTACTTCCAAAAATTCTCACCCTTTCATATTGAATTACAAGAAACAAACCTCAAATAAACTACCAATTCTTCAAGAGAAATCAAAGAAATTCAATCGAATTAGCAAGTGCGGGAGAAAAGAGAAAAGCCCAACTTTTAACGAAAAAACATAGGAATCTCCTATTTGATGTAGTAAAGAAACAGTGCAATTGAGATGGAGAAATGAGAATCCCAGAAATGGGTTGTAAGATTCAGACGTGATATCACAAGAAACAAACCTCAAATAAACTACCAATTCTTCAAAAATTCTCACCTTTTCATATTGAATTACAAGAAACAAACCGCAAATAAACTACCAATTCTTCAAGAGAAATCAAAGGAATTCAATCGAATTAGCAAGTGCGGGAGAAAAAAGAAAAGCCCAACTTTTAACGAAAAAACATAGGAATCTCCTATTTGATGTAGTAATGAAACATTGCAATTGAGATGGAGAAATGAGCATCCCAGAAATGGGTTGTAAGATTCAGACGCGATATCACACTTAACCAAAAACCTCAATCTTCTTGAATGTTTCACAAAGTCAAATAGGTTTTTGTAACATCAAGAGGCATACTGAAGCAGACCCACAAGAAAGCATCTTGTTCTTCCTATAGTCCTTTACATTGCACCTAAACTTCAAAGTTCCGTGAGGACTGAGGGTTATAATTTTTTATTCTTACATGGCCTTGTAGGTTAAGCGTCTTTCTACCAGCTAAAATCTAGAGTATTTTATACAGTAGTATCCTTCTTAAATTTTCTTTAATTGTATGTATGGTCGTATTTAAATCTAGATTGCTTATCATCTTAAAATCTCTTTCGCTAACTAAATGTATGAAATTGTGGTGGGTTTATAATTTTATACCAATAGTTCCCGCCAGAGAACATGAGCCACCTTAGTTGAGAGCAAGAGATGAATGTGTCAACACCTGGTCCTAACATGTATCCAAACAGCAAATGACAAAATAAGAGTTCTAAAGTCTCTAGTAAATATCTTCATGATTGGACACTTGTATCCGAAAAATAAAATACCTGAACAAATACAGTTTGACCCTATGAGAAAAGGAGAGGAACAAAAGCCCAAGCATTGGCAATAGCAGCCTCCTATCCTTCATTGTTTACTAGGTGTCTCAACAATGAATGTAATTGTCATAACGAAATGCAAACAGAGTGAAGCTCTAAAATGAACCTCAAATGGGGGTATGCTATAGATAGGATATGTCATGCCCCAAGCCCATGAGCCCGTTGGAGCAATGCAAGTCCTAGGATCCATGGAGTGCTACACGTAGTTTGGCTTAATCTACTATCAAAATAGCTAGTCTCAATCTACTGTCAAAATAGCTAGTCAATGTTGCACTTGGTTCTCAAGACTCATCATTTAAACTCTCGTAAACTCTATCAATTTTTCGATGGCGGACTATTAGTGGGGTATCACCATAACTCAATTTTCCGTCACGACATGACAATTAGCACGTTCTACGGTTCTAGTATCATCCCCAGGCGATGTGGACTCTAGAGGTGACTCCTACTCTCTTCTAGAGGTGGCTCCCACCGCACTCACGCGGTGTAACACTTAGTCCCACTTAGCACTTAGATCCACATTTCCGACTGACTAGCTGCTCTGATACCATTTGTCACTCCCCAGGCTCACGAACCCGTTAGCATGATGCAAGTCCTAGGACTCACGGAGTGCAACACGTAGTTTGGCTCAATCCACTGCGAAAATAGCTAGCCAATATTGCACTTGGTTCTCAAAACCCATCATTTAAACCCTCTTAAACTCCATCAATTTTCTGATGTGGGACTACTAGTGGGGCATCATAGAATCTATTGAGGAATCTGATCCCAGCAGCAATAACTTTATGCTGTGCTGGGATGTGGGAGTAAAGAAGAGGAAGGAAGAGAATTTTAAGTTTAACTTTGTTTGGGAGTTTTGTTGGGAGGGTAAAAAGGAGAAAGGATGGAGAAGCTTTCATAAAACTTCTATGATTTCTTTCCCCTCAAATTGGGGGGTAAAGAAGGGAAGGGAAAGAAAGTAAAAGTTATTAATACAAAAGACACCTTGACCCTCAATCATAATAAATCATTGGCTAAAATTCATTTATTTTCCTTCCCTTCCCATAATTAGAACTCCCAAATAACATAATTTAAGTTCACCTCCATTCCCCTTATAAAACTCCTAAACAAGATATTATATTTCCTCTCCCCTTCCCTTTCTTTCCTTTCCACCTTTCTTTTCCTTTCCTTTCCTTCGTAAACTGCCAAACATAGCATTAGTGATTTGATGAGGTACAAGTATTGACATATTTCCTTTATCTCTGCAATGGGTTGAGAGTTTCAGTCACTTGCTAAATAGGATTTTAGATTATGAGATGCAGAACAAGGATATGGAACAATACAAGACACTAAATAAATTTTAATTTATTAGTAATGAATGGGCAGTCATCTAAATCAATTGTCTATATAGAATGGCAGGTGGTCAAGTACTTGATATTGATGTACGTGTATATGGATAAAGGTGTTGTTTATTGTATATTTATTCTGTATGCATGTTTCTGACATAGAGGGTGTATTTTCATACTGTTGTTATTTTTGCTTGATATTATTTATTGTTGTTTTATTATTATAAAAAACACAATATCATCAGAGATTACTCCATTTGTGTAAAGTAAAAAGAAATAATCTCGGTTATACAGCTAATTATTGCTTTCAAACTGGGCCTATACCATGCTTGTTAACAGAATATACAATATGCACCATATTCTTAGAATTACTAGAACTTCCACCAAAAATGCCAATCACATGTTTGATTTTGTACCATGATGTGGTACTAGTCTCTAAGTTTAATTTAGGTTTATAGCAATATGGTAGTTGATGATGCTTAGAAATCTAGGGAATGTATCATGTTGTCTCCATGTCTCAAGTCTGAGTCATGCTTCAGACCACACATTCATCATGTATAATTGCTAGGCTTGCCTGAATGACCTAAGTGGCAAAGAAGGTCTTAGAATACCCATATTCTATTGATTTTATGATTACCTATATGTCATAGAGCTATTATTTTATATAGGGTAAAAGAACTGTTAGGCTTTTTGGGAATATCATATGGATAAGGATGTGGATACATGAATACTGAAAGAATGGTCAGGACACAAACATAGACTGAAGTTACTAAGAGACCCAGAGAGAGATCTTTTGAAGACCAGGAATTATTATTGGCATAGCAATCAAAGTTCAACACAAATTTCTGAATCAAAAGATCAATTTGCCTCCAATGGCGCACACCTCTTAAGTGACACATACATAAGTGATAGATTTTGTACCACTATACAAGCCTCAAATATACCTAGCAAACCTACACCCGTGATAATAAGGGAATTCAAAAGAGAATAACAACGAAAAAATTCTAGGGCTGATATAATTGAAGAATGGAACTTAAAGCAGCGAACTAACGGAATTCAAAGCATGCTAGGTAAATGCTATTTGATTGGAGTTCTTAGTATGGTTTGAAAGAAGGTTGCACTACTAAATGTGTCAAAAGGGATTGATGCTTACTTCTCCTCAAGAAACTTAATCATCCACTTGGAAACTACAGAAAATGCCATCATCCACAACACTTATTCAGACATATATCTAAGTATTTTTAAGAATAGTGTTATAGGAACTTGGTTATCTGATAGAACTTGTCGGTTTTAAAAAGTTGTATATACAAACTTGCAGCTTCCTGTAGCCCCCGACATTTAATATTAAATGTTACATGTGCATATCAGAATGTTACAATCTGATGAGGGTTGTGCACTCAATACAGTGACAAAAGTTCTTCACAAGAGCAAACCATTGAATTTTCTAACCACAGAAAGCTAGTACAAATGCATGAAGACAGGAAAAAAAATGATACGACAGCTTACAACATAATATAACCAAAGTAAGTAAGTACCTTATTTGGACGACCATAGGAAGACTTTGCCACCGCCAGTTGCTGCAGCAAGAGATCCCAATTTATACGGGTGTGCAGCCAAATGTTGCGGCGTCAAGCTCATATGCAGGCTTTCCAAAGCCATAGTTGTTTTATTGCCAATACAAATGACATCAATTGCACCTTCCAAGTTCCCCAAAAATAAGTAGGAGTCACTCCATCCCCATATTCCTCTTGTTGAGGATACAAATTTTGCTCCTCGATTCTTATGAGGAATCATGCATTGCTCATCAAAGTTACCGCCACTCAGAATTCCAACTCTATCATCATCACTCGTAGTAGCAAGACAACTTCCAGAGGGCGAAAAATACGCAGAATTAATAGCCCTCTCATGAACAACTCTATTTAAGCACTCAGGCCGATCTCTCTTCATAAACCTCAAGTCCCATATACAAGCCATCCCATCAGATGAACTAGTAGCCATCAAGTGAGAATTTACCAGGCTGAAATCTATAGAATTAATCCTACCACCATGCATCTCCCAAAAGCTCGAAGCTTTTCCAGCTTTCTCATCCCAAACTTTGAGCTTTCCTACTCCCTCACCAATGTACAGCGAACTAACATCCTCCGGCCACTGACAAATAGAATAAAAAGGATCAGAACCACTAGAACAAACTATAACATTCGAATTCTCGTGCTCGACATCCATCAATCGAACAAATCGATCATAACTGCTCGTAAAAATCTTCGCAGGCGAGGAATGATGTGCAGAAATCCCCGTAACAAGATTCGAATGCAGAGAACAAGAATACAGCCCCTTGCCATTAAAAGAATCCACGACCCAGAAGCCCAAATCCCCAACTGCGTTCCCAGCAACAACCACAGTTCGATCATTGAACGGCAAGAATCTAAGACAAGATATGATTTTGGTAAGAATAACCGCAGAATTCTCCGGCTTCAGCAACATCGAAGACCTCGGATCGAATCGGACGTCGATCAAAGGATTCAGAAGCTGGGGATTAGATGGTGATGGGGTTAGGGTTAGAGCTAAGTCATCGAGATCGGTGAATTTAGGGTATCGCTCGGGGGATTTGCCGCGGATGCGGAGGGATTGGCGGCTGGAGGACGAGGGTTTCTTCTGGTGGTGGGTCCGGCGAGGGCGGAGAGAGTGGAGGTCGGCGGCGGTGCGCTGGAGCCTGAGGGTCTCCATCATCTCGGCGTTTCGCCGGATGTTTTCTTGCCGCCGGCGCTCGTAGTCCGTTAGGGTTTCGGGCGACATTGGAGGGAGGTAGAGAACCTAGGGTTTGAGATCAGTTGAGCATTACCACAAACACCTAGGGGTCGATGTTGAAGAGCCTCGTGCTGGAGCGTTCCACATTCCCAGGATCAGTTGAAGCTATGATGGCTAATTAGCACTTGAACACTAATAATATCGGTAAGAAAATCGCTGAAGTTTGGGCCTTTCCCACACCAATAATAAATTATAATATCTTAGATTAGGACCCCAAACAAAATTTAGAATTTGTTTGGTGTTGTTTGTAACTTTTGAAAGTTTTAGGGGTTGTTTATTGTTTCTGAAACTGTTAGGAATTGTTTGCAAGTTGCTAAAACGAGCGTTTGCCAACCGTGACGTTTTTGCCGTTTCTGTTTTTATTTTCAACAAAAACAATAAAACGCGTTTGGCAACCGGGGCGTTTTTTGACTTGACCATTTACAAAATCCAAAAAATAAACACTTTTCTCAAAACACCAAAAAGGTGTTTTGAGATTCCGTTTTTTCATCTAAGCATGTCGCCGCTCGCAGCCTCCACCCGCCCGCCCGACGACGCCAGTCGTCGGCCGTCGCCACGCGGCCCACCCGTCGCCGCCAGCGAGACGGCCGTGACGCTCTTCGCCACCGCCGCCAGCCGCCCGTTCTTGTACGCCAGCCGCCGCCACGCCGCCGCCCGTCGTCGCCCGCCCGAGTTAACGGGAACGCCCGCCGTCGCGCTCCCCTCCGCCGCGGCCGCTAGCGCTGAGATTGTCGTCGTCGCCGCCCGCCACGGCAGCCACCGCCCTTCCGCCCGGCCGGCCGCCACCGGCCGGCCAGGCCGCTGCCCTCGCCTGCCCACCGCGCTTGCGCGGTCATCATCCGCCATCGCTCGTCGGTCGGTCGCTTGGGCCACCTGCCCGCCGCTCGCCCATCACCGCGCCACCCTGCCCCCGCCCATCACCCGCCACCGCCGCTGCCGGGTCACCCGTCGGCGCTGCGCCTTCCGCACACTCGTAGCATGGGCTGCCGCGCGTCGTTGTCCGACCCGTCGCCTGCGCCCACCCGCCCGTCCCGGCGCTGGTCGTCGACGGTGTTGTCGCTCCCTCGCGTCGTCTGCCGCCGGCCAGCCGTCGCCCGCCCGTCGCCGTCGCAGTCGTCGTATGCTTATAAATAAAACTATAAATGGTGTTTTCAAAACATGTTTGAAAAAAAAAACACCATGCCATGGTGTTTTTCTAAAAAACACTACAAAAACAAACACCTCATTTACCAAACACAAATAATTTTGAGAGTTGTTTGTAAATTTTAAAACTTTCAGAGGTGACGTTAAAGCTTTTAGGGGTTGTGTTGTAAAACTTTCATGGAGTTATTTGCCATGTTCATAACTTTCTAAGACTTTTTGAAAATTGTTCAGGGGATTTTAATTTTCAAAAGTTTCAAGTGGATGTTTATAAAAATTTTAGTAAGTTGCTGTTGCATGGGCTTATTATAAATTTTCCATAGGGGTTGTAAACTTTTTAAAGTGTTATTTATAAAATTTTCAAAGGATATTTCTAAATTTCAAAACATTCAAGGAGCTGGTTGTAAAAATTTCAATAAGTTGTTTGTAAATTTTTAGAGAGCTCTTTGTAATTTGAACTTTCTAGAGAGTTGCACTAATTTTTGGATTTTCTAATGAGTGTTTATAATTTTTGATCTAAAAGTGGGTTGTTATAATTTTTATAATTAAATGGTGTTCTTCGTAATTATGAGATTTTAGGCCTTTATTTGTGTTAAATGTTAAGACATTGTTTGTAAATTTCTAATATTTCATGGGCTTATTTATTCTAGATTTTTAGGAGGAATTGTAATTTTTGTATTTGGAGGGTTGTTCGTAGTTTTGGACTTTTAAGGATTGTTTGTAATTATTAAATTTTATAGGGGCTAGCTAATAATTTTTTAATCTCGAAAAACACTTCTTATAGAAAGTAGAGATTTGATGTTAGAATTTTATAATTATTGATAGTTTTAATTTGACGAGAATTCTTAGATGACGATAGGATTTAAAAGGAGGGCTTTCATTATTAGAATTTACTAATTAAAGATCATATGTTTTATTTATTGAGGATTTTTATATGAAGATAAATTATATATCCACGTGTCAATCTCTATAAGATAGATGGGCAAGTGACAATTTTTTTGACATGTGCATATTTTGATACCTTTAAGAGTAGTTACTATTTTCTCTTTATATATAAAGGAGGGATTTGTCCGTGCTTGCACGGATGAGTCTTATATATAGAATAAGTAATATGAAGTGTGTAATGGAAACTGATCCTACATCATTAGCTTGGATATGTAAAAATCTATTTTTTTTTTTATTTTATATATTTGATGTTGGTTTCTAGAAGTTTCTTATTTAGGCATATACATGTGCTTCTAAATTGAAGTGAACAGAAAATTTTTGAACGACTACTTCTCTTTTCTATTTTTTATATATACTCTATCTTTTTATATATACTCTATCTTTTTATGGATATAAGCATACAAATGGCTAATGCCAGTGATTATAACATATACATTATTAAAAATTAGAGAATTTGAATTGGAGTTTTTTCTTTAAATAGTTTGAAACCTAAAAGAAATTAAAAAATAAGGATGTAGATGACTTTTATTTCAAAATTTGAAATTGGGCGTTAGATAGCTTACCCAACAACCTCTCCTTTACAATACTCCTCTTTATTTATAATATATATTATGAGATAAAAAGATAAATGTATTTCAAAATTTTAAATTTAAAATTAAATCGTTTAACCATAAACTCTCCTTTGTAATATCTCTTTTTTAATAATAATTAAAAATAAATAAAAAGGGATATAAAAAATTCAAGCCCTCCATATGATCACAACATCAAAAATATTTCTTTGATTTAGGAACTATGAAGATTTAGGTAGCTAGCAATGATATCTTTTATTGACGTTTTATTATAAAATCTTTTGAAATTTAGTATGAACTAAAGAGTAAATTGAGTTAAACCATGCAACATGAAGCAATCAAATAAAATATCACAATTAAATAAAATATAATGACTTCACATATATTAATTTAATCTAAAACATCACCCGGCGCATCACCCACAAATTTCTCATTCTGATTTAGGATTTGTCTTCTTATATATTTTAATCACCTTTTCTCCTCCTTTGGCTTACCCCTCAACAGTTTGCTCTCTTTCTTCTTCTTCAAAAGCTTCTCTTTTTTCCCTCTCCTCCTTCCTCTTCTTCACTTCTTCCCGCAACCCTCTCATCCTCCTTAATCCTAAACCTCTCTTCATCCTCCTTTCTCAACTTCTCTTCTTCTTCTATACTAAGCCTCTCCTCTACTTCCTGTTAGAATTGGGGGTGAAGCCCAAACCTGCAGGCGAGCTTCTCCAGGCGAGGATGAAGCTCAGGCGAGGTCAGCGGTTGCAGGCGGAGCTCGAGATCCAGGCGAGGTCTCGACGAAGAGTTGTAGGTGAGTTCTCGTGCTGGCGACTTCTCGTGCAGGCGACTTCTCGTGGCTAGCGACTTCTCGTGCAGGCGAGTTCTTCGCAGCTACAAGCGAGATTGACTCATAGGCGGGCTCGTAGCTAGCAAGCGGGGTCGAGGTGCTCGTGACAGGCGAGCTCGTGGAGGATTTCTAGGCTGTCGACAGTCTGTCGACAGCTCATCTAGGGTTTCCCTATAAAAGGGAAACCCCAGGGCCGAAACCATTGATCTCCTCTTTTCTCTCTCGTGATCTCAACCTCCTGGTGGCGGACTCAAAAACGCAACAGCGTTTTTCTTCCTCTTCTCCTCTCATGATTTTCCAGCTCACAGTTTGTTGAGGGAAATTTATTATGGGAATATTCTCTATTAAAAGGGGTATTTAAGAAGAGGGAAATCATACTGTAGCTACAATAACGATTGTATTTATTGAGGAATCTCAAGTTTGAGATCCGCTCTTGAATTATAATTTCTTGTTGATTAATAAGAAATTTATTGTGTGGCTCCCGAGGACGTAGGCAGTTGCTGAACCTCGTTAAACTTGGTGTACTTTTCTCTATACCGCGTTTCTGCTATTTTTTAGGGGTTTTGCGTAGCCAAGCGGGTAGTATTCCCAACAACTGGTATCAGAGCATAAAACGATCTAGAGGAAGTCAGATTCAAGTGGGAGTCATGGCCGCAGATGAAGGAAAATGAGACTTGAGAAGTTTGATGGAACAGATTTTTGATTCTGAAAAATACAGATAGAGGATTATCTGTATCAGAAAAATCTGTATCAACCACTATCGGGGAAGAAGCCGGATTCTATGAAGGTAGATGAGTGGAACCTTCTAGACAGACAAGCCCTCGGAGTTATCAGATTGACCTTAACTCGCAATGTTGCGTTCAACATAGCGAAGGAGAAAACCACGATGGGTCTTATGGCAACTCTCTCAAATATGTATGAGAAGCCATCAGCCGCGAACAAAGTTCATTTAATGCGGCGGTTATTCAATCTGAGAATGGCGGAAGGAGCGTCAGTAGCACAACACCTCAATGAACTCAACAAGGTCACAACCCAATTGAGTTCAGTTGAAATTGAGTTTGATGAGGAAGTTCGAGCGTTGATACTTTTGTCTTCCCTACCAGAAAGCTGGAATGCTACAGTCACGGCAGTGAGTAGCTCGTCAGGAAGCACCAAGTTGAAGTTCGACGACGTTCGTGATCTGGTTCTCAGTGAGGAGATCCGACGGAGAGAGCAAGTTGAAGTTCGACGACGTTCGTGATCTGGTTCTCAGTGAGGAGATCCGACGGAGAGAGTCGGGTGATGCTACAACCTCTTCAGTATTACATACAGAGTCAAGAGGTAGAAATTCAACTAGAGGGAATGGACGAGGCAAATCAAACTACAGAGGTAGATCAAAGGACAGGAGGTCCAAGTCAAGGAATCCAAGCAACAACTCGAAGGCTATCGAGTGTTGGAATTGTGGAAAAACCGAGCATTACAAGAATCAGTGCAAGAGTGCACAATAGGAGAAGGAGGCGAAAGCAGAGGTGAATGTCACTTCCACCTCAGGAGGAGATGACACATTGATATGCTCTTTGGAGAGCAAGGAGGAATCTTGGGTGTTAAATTCAGGAGCGTCGTTCCATACTACTTCTCAGAAAGAATTCTTCGAGAAGTATGTTCCC